AACCACAATACTGATAAGTGATTAATAAAAGTCAAAAGACCAAAGAGGTCACCTTAATACCAAAAAAAAAAAAAAATCAAACTATTCAATCTCTTATACAACATATTGATAAACATAATCATAATAACACTGTCTCATTTGTGTATATACTTTCTTATATAACTGTTATTTGGTTTAGTTTCTTATTCTTTTGAAGGTGTTTTATAGGCTTTTATTAGTCTAATAACAATGTTAAAAGTTTGTACTATTTCTTTATTTAGGCTTTTTAAGTAGGCTTCTATTTTCTTAGTTTTTTGGTTTTTTATATTGAGTAGTTTTATTATAAATTTGCATTAAAGTCTTATATAACATTAGTTTTTTATATTTTTATATATATATGTAATATTACATTTTACATAAATAGAGGTGTGATGATCTAGTAAGTAGACAGATTGTTAATCCTCAAATGGCAGGTCTAGTGTTCAAATTTGATAAATAGTAAAATTTAGAAATTACATTTGGAAACTCTCTCTCTCTCTTCATTCACATTTAGCAGTGGAGAAAAAAATAAAACAAAAACAATTAAATTTTTATTAAAATTTATTAGAAACTATACCACAAGAGCTAAATCTCTTGTGATGAAGAAAAGAAAGTATCTATGCACAAACTGCTACACTCTTTTACTAAGTCAATGAAATGCCTATATTCTACAAGAAACTTAGAACTTCTAACATTTATAAAGAAGAAACTAGTTTAAGCTCAGGCCCTTCTAAGAGCTTATTAAAACAAACTAAAGCTCAAGTTTTAAATAGCCAAGAACCAAAAGCTTTATCAACACAAAAAACACAAGAAGCATATATAGTAATAGACTTAAAAATTAGCAAAGCACTAAACAAAGAAAATACTGATCTTGTAAAAAATAATAACGCTTTGTTTACATCTGCTAACAACATATACACAGAAGTAACAAAACAAACCAAACACATGTCTTATAATAGCAACTCAGTTACATTTCAATTAGAAATTACAACCAACCAATCAAAACCAAGGCAATGGTCCAATCTTTTTTCTAAGCTGGAAAGAGGAAAAGCCACCTATTCTACATTCTCTTCTAGAAAAAGATCTACACTAAAAATAAAAATGCTTTAATTTTTGAAATACAAAATTTAGAAAATATATCTACAGCAGACATAGTTGAAGCAATGGCAAAAAAATTAGGTGACAGTCTTATAGCAATAAGACCAATAGTTACCAAAAGCAGAAAAACTCATTTAGAAGTTATCTTTTCTGATGAGGACCAGCAACAGTACTATGCAGCAAAAGGAATCTTAATCTTTAAGCAGTCCTTTCAGGGCTATATTCCTGTTAATATTAAACAAAGCTTTCTTTTAATAAGAATTAGAAATACACTAATAGGTAAAAAAGATTTTATCTCTAAAAAAAATCAAAGAAGCTTTTCAAGATGTAGGCACAATCTTTTTTATTAAACCTTTGGTACACAAAGGCACTTCAGTTCTTTCAAATCAATGGGTAGTTATTTTTGAAACTACAGATGACCCAGACCTAGCAAATAGAATTCTCAGATATACACATGTTTGGGATCACAAAGTAGTTATGGACTAGAGAGAAGCTCCAAAGCTATGTTACTTTTATGACAAAGTAGGTAATATTAAAAAAGAATGCACTGAGTACATAGCTTTAGTAGAACTTAGAGCTATGAAAAAGCATGCAGATTACAAAGATTTCAAAACAAAATTAACAAGCACCAAACCTTTGAGTTAGAAGACTTTAGTGCAGATAACCTCTATATTAAAAATAATAATAACTTAGATGCTAACAATGTTAATGAGCAAATCTTAGCAGATATGAATCTGGATAGTCATATTAATATAGATCAGCCTCAGATTAAAACTAAGACAGCTGAAAAAGAACCAACTGAAGATACTTCAAAGAAACTAAATAATTCTTTAATAGAAAATCATATCATAGATACCAATATAATAGTAAATCTGCTAATCATTCTCTATAATGACTCCAAGGCTGCTAAATCCTCTTTCATCAGCAATAATAACAATGAATTCCAATTGGTGGTGTCAAAGAAAAAACACAAGGGTAAAGCAAAAGTATCAAATGCAGAAAGAAACAAAGTTATGAGTCTGGATTCTAAAAAGAATTCTGGTCTTAAAACCAAAAGACCTTAATCTAACTTACCAATCTTCAATTTTTTAATATTAATGGTTAAACAAATTACAATTGCAACACTTAATATTAAAGGTTTGAACAATTCAGACAAAGCACAAAAAACACTAATCTTACTTAAATCATATCAATTAGATATAATTATATTACAAGAAACAAATTTAGAAAACAATAACACAAGAAATTTTCTCTTACAACAATAGGGATACAGCTCTTACTGGTCCTCCAAGACAGCAATATTAGCAAAAAACAGAAACATTTTATTTGAAAACATTATAGAATCTCAAAATGGCTATGTTATCACAGCAACTTTCCTATACAAAAACCAACTATTTCTCTTAAACAATATTTATGCACTACCAAATATAGAAGATAGGCTCAAATTCTTCAATAGCTGGGTTTCTCTAAGGGATAATAGATGCATTAATATTTTGGCCAGAGACTTTAACACAAATCTGAATCTACAAAATGATCGAATCAGTCATGCACTTATTACTTATAACCCTACAAGAAATCTTTTCAAAGAACTTACAATGGAGTTTACAGATACTGCATTACTGTCTAAAAATGATTATTCATTTTTAACCTATTATCAGAACACTCATGCAGGTCACAAAATGGTTACAAGGCTTGATTACATCTTTATAAGTAGTGATCATAGTAGCTATTGTAAAAATGTAACAACACAATTTGGCAATTCTGATTATTTAATAGTAAAATGTGAAATATACCTCTCACTAGAAAACCCTAAAGCAAAACAATGGAGATTTTGCAAAAATAGCTGGAATAATAACCTGCTAAAAAAAGAAGTAATTAAAGAACTTCAAAGCATTACTGATTTCTCAAAATAGGACCTTTGCAAATGCAGAATACAATCTATAATTAGAGCATTCAGGCCTAATTCTGCTCCAAAAAAGAAGATTCAAAGGCTTCAAAAACAACTCTCAAAGCTAAATAAAAAAGCTGCTAATGAAGAGAATCCAATAGCAGCTTTATCACAGATAGAAAATATTAACCAACAGCTTCAAAATGAGCTTCAGCTGCTCTCAGAAAAATGGCAAATAAGATCAAATACCAAATGAATTGAAGATGAAAAAAAGTCAACCAAGTTCTTTTTCTTTCAATACAAGTCAAGAAACTCAATTTCAGCAAAAGTCAAAATTCAAGCTTCTAATAATAACAACCCCAAAGACTTAGCCACTACTCTACAATATATAAAGGAAACATATCAGAATATTTACAAAGCTAAGACAGTCAACAAGAACTTAATAAACTATTTTTTCCAAAATCTTTAAAAAGTAACTGAATTACAAAACCAATCACTTATAAAACTTATTTTCAAGAAAGAAGTCAGAAATGTATTAGCTCTCTTTCAAATAACAAGACTCCAGGTTCAGATGGCCTTAATTATGAGTTCTACAAAAGAATTATAAATGAAATAGCATCAGTTTTGTCCAAGCTCTTCAACTTCTGTTTAGAGTCTGGTACAATCCTTATTACTCTAATTTTCAAAAAAGGTATTGACTTAAAAAATATTAACAACTAGAGACCAATCTTGCTCACAAACTGTAATGTTAAAATCTTTATAAAAATCTTAGCTGATAGAAGTAACTCTATTTGCAAAACTTTAATCAGACATTCACAACAAGGCTTTATTAAAGGAAGATCAATTACTGATACAGCACTAGACATTATTATAGTTCTAAAAAATCAAAATAATCAAACAATATCAAATTGGCTTCTACTGCTTGATTAGCAAAAAGCTTTTGATAAAATTAATTATAATTTTATCATGTATATATTAGAAGAAATGAACTTTGACAAAAAATTTACAAGGATTGTTAAACTTCTTTTCAATTCACAAACTGCATACTTAACAGATGCAAACCTTATTTCAGAACCTATAAGAGTAAAAAGAGGAGTACAACAAGAGAACCCACTTTCTTCTTTGCTATACATTTTTGCCCTCAACCTACTCATTCTCAAGATTCAAGAAGAAATCAATAGAATACATTTAGCCAATCAGACATTTAAAGCTGTAGCCTATACAGATGATTTTACAATTAGAATAAGCTTAGCAAATAACTAGGAAAAGCTTCTGCTTCTATTTCACAAATATGAAGCAGTCTCAAATACTAAAATTAACAAAAAAAAGTCAATTCTACTTCCAATCACAAGCATGGCCAAAGCAACAAATCTTACAAACCAAAAGCAGTACAAAATAGCCAATAACAATATCATACTAAAAATCTTAGGCTATGAAGTTGATATTAAAGATAACCCAAAGAAAAAGCTATAGGAGGACCTAACTCAAAACATTAAAGAAAGAATTAAAGGTGTTGCATTGAGAAACCTCTTCTTCAAGAGAAAGATTCTTCTATCAAAAGCTCTTTTTATCTTCAAGATCTAGTATACAGCATACTTACTTCTACCAAGCAGAAAACAACTAGATTAAAAACAAATTCTGAATGCTGCCAAAATATTCAACTTTTTAATTGGAAATTGACAAAGGAGGTCTTGCAGCCCTAGTTCTTAAGGACATTCTTGACTCAAGGCTTACTTCAATATGGATTAAACTCCTATATTTAGATAGCTTTTGGGCCAGAGTCAAAAGATCTCAAATTGCTTAACAACTGCATGATAAAAGAAACATAACAATAGGTTATATATTAACAAGACTCCCAATTAGGCTGAAGGATGGCTAGACTTTTGGCAACCTTACCTTATAGTATGAAAATGATTAAAAGGCTCAATACTAAATACAAACAACTAGCCTTGGAATTTGTCAGATCTTACAATTAGAGGCCGACTAGGTTCCCAATTCTCAGTTAAAAATACAACTGATTTCTTAAGAACTCAATCAATTTTACCTATAGCAGTGCAAACTCCAATTGACACTAGCTATCCTTTTACCTGGATTAACACAATAGAAATTCTGAACAAGAAAAAAAATATTTTTTGGAGGTTACAGAACAATGCACTTCCTTTGAGATACAGGCTTATGCATGTAAACAAAAACATTAATAGAAACTGTTCTAATTGCCTAGATCAAAAACAAACATTAGATCACTTTGCTTTAAAGTATAACATTAAAAAGCTATTTGAGAAAAGAAATACAAGGCACTTAAATCTCTGGCAGAAAAGGTTCTTCTTACAACTATCGAAGAGATTTTTATAGCATCAAATATTTAACTTTCTAAAAAGCAAGAGGCTGCATTGTGGCTACATATAAATATTATCTATAAAATATGATGTTGGTATACTCAATCTATATAGGGAAATAATATTACTTCAGAACTGGTAATAGAAAAAATTGTTGAATACTGAATGAAAAAAGTCTAATAATTTTAGATAAATTATAAAAAAGAAAGAAAGTACTTAAACTTGTTAAATTTATAAATAGTAAATGTTTTACTTATATATAATGTAAAATTTTATAATATATAATTTTAATAAAAAGAATGCCAATTCATATATAAAAAAAAAAAATTACATTTGTGTTATGATAACTGTATTTTGTCAATCAGTTGGACAGAAGAAATGATCTGTAATTTTAAAAACACTATCTTGAATAGAAGCTCAGAGCATTTATATGAAGTATAATATTACATATATATAAAGGAATATTAATATTGCATAAGACTCTAATGCAAATCTATGATAAGATCACTAGGCACATAATACTAAGAAACTAAAATACAGAAATCTACTTGGAAATCCTAAGTAAAGAAATAGCATGAACATTCAATAATATTACCAGACTATTAGAAGCTTCTAAAAAAGAATAACTGAAATAGATCAGATACAAGTTTTATTAAGCTCTCAGTTCAAATAGTCTAAAAAGATAAATAAACTATACCTCTGGTTTATATTTTCTTTAACATATGATCTTTTTCTTCAGAATGAATTCTAGCTGCCTGGCTTGTTGTAACAGCTTTTTTTTAAAGACTAAGTTGTCTTTATCTAACTTTACAGATTTTAAGTTATTTTATAAGCTAGTTTTTACAATAGCAACATTGAAAGTTTGAGTTATTTTTCTATTCGGATTTTTTAAATAAGCTTTTGTCTTTCTAGTTTCTATAATATACATAATTATAAGACTTATAATAAGTTTATACTGCCTAGTACTAATTTGTAGAAGCTTGCAAATTGCCTATTTTTGAGGCCTGGCCTGGCCCACATTTAGGATTAAAATTTTTTTGCTAACCTGATCTGGTCTGCATATAATTAAATTTTTTCTTCAATCTGGTTTGACCTATATAATTTTGTAAAATTTTAGACCAAATCTAGTCTGCAATTATAAAATTTTGCTTCAGACTTAGTCTGATTTACAAAAATTTGCAGGTCAAGCTAAGCTGCAGAACTCAATACAGATCTTTACTAGTTTGTGTTTCTTTATACAAAGTTGTATAAATGCTATGTGACCTTTCAGTTATACTAGTATAATATAAATAACAGATATCTGATTTTAACCAATTCTAAAAGACAGTTAATTATAATACAAAAAGAATTATGAATTTTTACTAATACTAGAATTTGAACTCTAAACCTACTACTTAGAGGTTAACAACCTGTTCACTTTACTAAGTTACTACACTTTCTAATAAAGATTTTTTAAAAAGATAGACAGATAGATAAAATATATAAAAAAAACATATATAATAACTAGATTATTAGAAAAAAAAATAAAGAACTCTCCTCTGTAGATCTCTTGACCAAAAATTGTTAAGAAGCAAAACACAGAAAAACTGCAAAACCTACTAGGAAACATCATTAAGGCCCTTAACAAAAAAAAAAAGAGCAGCAAAAGTTACATTTAGCTAAAAAACAAAGACACAAGTAGAAAAGCTTAGAAGTAGTATAGCTTGAAAAGATTTAAAAACTTCAACAAAACTAAAATTTTTTGTAAAAATTTTGGGAAATCACTATGATCCTGTTGTAGAGATCAATTTAAGTTACATGCAAAGTACACAAAATAAGTAAAGT